CTCAATGGCGCACGGTGCATGCAAGTTATATAGATGGGAAAAATCTTCTAATATTTTTTCACATAACACCCTAAGATGAAGGGCTTCAGCCATTGAGCGGCTTTAATTTTTGAAGGGCTTTAATTATTACCGTTTTTTAAGTATAAAAGGGCTTTAAAGGCCTTTAATTATTGAAGGGTTTTAAGGATTGAAGGGCCTTAATTATTGAAGGGATATAAATATTGAAGGGGATTTTATTATCGAAGTGTTTTAAATTATGAAGAATTTTAATTATTAAACGGTTGTAATTATTTGAGGGTTTTAATTATTTAATGAGATTTAAGGTTTAGGGTCCGATACGAAAGGTTACCATGGTTAAAACCTTGGGGTAATAGTATTTCTTAAATAGATAATTTTTTCTGTCGCTCGCGCCCTAAGCACTAATTTTACCGAGCCTTTTTTTTCGTCTATATTGATTTTTTTCGTTTAATCTACGGGATTTTTTTTTTAATTTACATTGATATTTTTCGTATTTAATTCTTGATTGGGACCTTTTTTTATGTACATTTGCCTTTTTCTACTTTTAACATCGATTTATATCGTTTTAAAAGTTTTGTTCGTACTTTGAAAAAATTATTGGTGCCTTTCTTTAATCTGTATTTGTTTCGCCGTTAAGTTCGATTGGGTTTTTTTTTTGTTATTTTTTTATCCTATTTTTGAATTTTAAGTCCTATTGGGATTTGTTTTTTATGTTTGTATTTTTTTCTCGCCTTATTAGAGCCTTTTTTGTTAATTTAAATTTGCATTTTATATTAACCCCCATTGGGACCTTTTGTACGTCTTTAAGTCCTATTATTGGGCCGTAAGCCCTAGTAAGATGCCTTGTTTATATTATGAAAATGGCCACGAAATGCTATGAGAACGGGATCCAAAATTTACCTTTACTGGTATTTGTAAGGGGTTTTGCGCCCTATTATTTTCATTTTTTTTAGAAAAATTATTTATTTTATTAATTTTAAAATTTTGTGACCGATAATTGGAATAAGGCCTTGTTCTTTCTCCATACACATTGATATGTTTGGCTGAATAATTGTGGCATGGGAAAACCATGGATATGTGTTTTTATTTAGTTATAAATGAAGTTTTTGCATTATGTCCACAGCTTATAAATTTCCTGTGTTCTAACAACACTACTCTGTCCTCGCTTCTTCTTTCGCATTTTGCGAGTGAACTCAGAGCAACAGTACTTGACCTGTTCAACTCATGAGGAAATATTTCAACCCATGTACTACGAAAAGTACGCAACATATTAATACGAGTGTCGTTTTATATTTATGAACCACAAGAAAATATATTAATTTATGGACCGCGAAGAATACCCGTTTATATTAACACATACTATACACAAAAACCACAAGGAAACAAATTAATTCATATAATACGAAAATTACACATCTAGATCATCACATATTTTAATTTTTATGTATATATGAACCACAAGGAAAAATATTAATTTATATAATACGAAATATATATTTATATATATATTAATATATATATATAATTATTTATATGAACCACAAGGAAACATATTAATTTATATAATACGGAAATATATATATATGTGTATGTGTTATTTTATATATATAAATATTTAGACAAATGTATTAATTTATGTGCTACGAAAAATGGATAATATATTAACACATATGTTATTTTATATATATGAATTATAAACAAATATTATTAATTTATATACTACGAAATAATTAAATAATTAGAATTTGTTTTTATTATTTTTTATTACCACTATTTTTTCCTTTATTAATGTCCCTTATT